CCTCCCACTCTATCTGAACAAAAAATATCAAAAATGTCCTCGGGTGAGGATAAAAAAAATAAAAAAATAAAAAATAATTGACGCAGGAGGCAAGAACATACATTGGGGTCAAGACAGTCTATTCGATAAATACTGCTGGGAAAATTGGACACACATATGCAATAAAATAAAACTAGACCACTTTCTTACACCATATACAAGAATAAACTCAAAACAGAGTAAAGACTTAAATATAATGCTCAAAACTATAAACCCACTAGAAGAAAATATAGGCAGTAAAATCTCTCACATTTCTCTTGGTAGTATTTTTTTAAAATATATCTCTCCTCAGTCAAGGAAAACAAAAGGAGAAATAAACAAATAGGACTACATCAAACTAAAAGGTTTTTGCACAGCAAAGGAAATCAAAAGGTAACCTACTTACTGGAAGAAGAGTCACCAATAAAACATCAGATAAGGGGTCAATAACCAAAACTGATAAAGAACACATAAAACTCAACACCAAAAATACAAACAATCCAATTAAAAAATGGGCAGAGGACCTGACTAGACATTTCCCTAAAGAGTACATACCGATGGCCAATAGATATGAAAAGATATTCAATGTCACTAATCATAATAACCCTTTATCAGATATATCATTGGCAAATATCCTCTTCCATTCAATAGGCTGTCTTGTCATCTTGTTGATGATTTCCTTTGCTGTGCAAAACCTTTAGTTTCATGTAGTCCCATCTGTTTATTTTTTCTTTTGTTTCCCTTGCCCAAGGAGATGATATACCACAAAAAAAATATTACTAAGAACAATGTCAAAGAATTTACTGCCTATATTTTCTTCGAGGAGTTTTATAGTTTCAGAAAAATGCAAATTAAAACCATAATGAGATATCACCTTGACCTGTCAGAATGGCTATTGTCAATAAATGTACAAACAAGTATTAGTGAGGAAGTGGAGAAAAAGGAACCCTCATTCACTGCTGGTGGGAATGCAGACTGGTGCAGCCACTGTGAACATTATTGAGGGATTCCTCAAAAAATTAAAGATAGAACTATCTTATGACACAGCAATTCCAATTCTGGGTATTTATCCAAAGAAATCCAAAACAGTAATTTGAAAAGATATGTGGAATCTAATGAACAAAACAAACAAACAAACGAACTAGAAACAGACTCACAGATATAGAGAACAAACTGATGACTGCCAGATGCGAGGAGGGTTTGGGGAGCGGGGTTAAAAAGGTGAAGAAATTAAGAAGTAAAATTGTGCCCGGCTTGTGTGGCTCAGTGATTGAGCATCGACCATGCCCCAAGAAGTGGCCAGTTCGATTCCCAGTCAGGACACATGCCCAGGTTGTGGACCTGATCCCCAGTGGGGGGCGTGCAGGAGGCGGTCCATTGATGTTCTCGCTCATTGATGTTTCTATCTCCCTTTCCCTTCCTCTCTCTCTAAAATCAATAAAGGAAAGAAATTTTTTTTAAAAAGAAGTAAAATTGGTAGTCAAATAGTCACAAGAATGTAATGTACAGCATTGGGGAAAGTATATGATTGTCTAACCACTATGCTATATACCTGAAACTAATAAAAAATAATAATGAATGTAAACTGCAATTGAAAGAAATCTAAATTACATAAGAAATGGAACATGACACAGTTGGTCTGACTCTGGTTTTATTTTTTTATTTTTATTTTATTATTATTATTTTATTTCTGTTACAGATGTTTGTCTTTTTTTCCCCATTGGCACCCTCCTCCCCATCCCCCCTACCCCGTCCCCAGCTTTGTTGTCCGTGTCCATTGGTTATGCATACATGCATATAAGTTCTGTGGTTTATCTCTTCCCTCCTGCCCACCCCCTCTTCTGAGGGTTGTCAGTCTGTACCCTACTTCCACATCTCTGGGACTACCCTATTCCTCAGACTGTTATGTTCATTATATTCCACAAATAAGTGAGATCATGTTGTATTTGTCTTTTTCAGCTTGGCTTGTTTCGCTTAGGATAATACTTTCCGGGTCCCTCCATGTTGTCTCAAAGGATAAGAGATCTTTCTTTCTTACAACTGCATAGTACTCCACTGTGTATATGTACCACCGCTTTTTTATCCATTCATCTACTGGTGGACATTTGGGCTGTTTCCAGATCTTAGCTATTGTAAATAGTGCTGCTACGAACATGGGGGTACATATATTCTTTCTGATTGGTGTTTCAGGCTTCTTAGGGTATATTTCTAGAAGTGGGATCACTGGGTCAAATGGCAATTCGATTTTTAATTTTTTGAGGTAACACCATAGTGTTTTCCATAGTGGCTGCACCAGTCTGCATTCCCACCAGCTGTGCACTAGAGTCCCCTTTTCTCCACACCCTCGCCAACACTTGTTGTTTGATGATTTGTTGATGGCGGCCATTCTAACAGGTGATACCTCATTGTTGTTTTAATTTGCATCTCTCTGATGATTAGTGATGTTGAGCATTTCTTCATATGTCTCTTGGTCATTTGTATGTCCTGTTTGGACAGGTGTCTATTTAGCTCCTCTGCCCATTTTTTATTGGGTTCTTTGTCTTCCTTTTGTTGAGTTGTATGAGCATTCTATATATTTTGGAAATTAACCCCTTATCTGATATATCATTGGCAATGATGTTCTCCCACACAGTGGGTTGCCTTTCCATTTTGATGGTTGTTTCTTTTGCTGTGCAGAAGCTTTTTAGTTTGATGTAGTCCCATGTGTTCATTTTTACCTTTGTTTCTGTTGCCTTAGGGGATGTATCAGCGAAAATTTTGCTGCCTATGATGTCCGAAATTTTGTTGCCTACATTTTCTTCTAGGATTTTTATGGATTCATGGGTCACATTTAAGTCTTATATCCATTTTTAGTCTATTCTTGTATATGGTTTAAGTTGATGGTCTAGTTTCATTTTTTTGCATGCAGCTGTCCAATTTTCCCACATCATTTATTAAAGAGGCTGTCTTTACTCCACTGTATGCTCTTGCCACCTTTGTCAAATATTAATTGAGCATAATGTCTTAGGTCCATTTCTGGGTTTTTTGTTCTTTTCCACTAGTCTATATGCCTGTTTTTGTACCAGTACCAGCCTATTTTGATTACAGTAGCTTTGTAGTATAACCTGATATCTGGTATTGTGATCCCACCTACTTTGTCCTTCTTTTTCAAGATTGCTGTGGCTATTCGGGGCCTTTTCTGGTTCCATGTGAACTTTTAAAGTACTTGTTCTTGACTCTGGTTTTTAAATGCTGACTCTTTGATTTAATTACAAAATATTTTGGATAATTACTCTGCAACTTCTAATAGCAACTAGGACACCTATACTTTAATAATGTTAAAAAGTAAAAATCGCCCTGGCCAGTTTGGCTCAGCGGTTAGAGCGTCGGCCTGCGGTCTGGAGAGACCCGGGTTCGGTTCCTGCTAAGGGCACGTGCTTCGGTTGCAGTTTGTCCCCGGCCCTGGTTGGTCGTGCGGGTGGCAGCCACTCGATGTGTCCCTTCACGTCGATGTTTCTCTCTCTCTCTCCCTTCCTCTCTCTCCCTCCCACTCTATCTGTACAAAAAATGGAAAAATATCCTCGGGTGAGGATAAAAAAAAAGTAAAAATCCTGACACTCGTTAACAGCATTTAATCAATTCCCAGAGGATTGATCCTGAGAATCTTCTTGATTTGGAAATATCAAAGAAGATTGAATTTAGGTGCAATGTTTCCATCTATCAAGTGATCATTACATAAACATGTAATCATGGAATATAAAAAAATCTTACCGTGCTTAGGGCCAATATAATCCAACTTTTCTCTGCAGGGAAGCCCTGTTTAATCCACTGCATACCTCCTACCTCAGATTACTACAATACTTCATTTTAAAATATGTTTTTCTTGATTTTTTAGAGAGAAAGGGAGAGAGAGATAGCAACATTGGTGTGAGAGAGAAACACTGATTGGCTGCCTCCTGCACGCCCCCCACTGGGGATCAAGCCCAAAACCCAGGCATGTGCCCTGACCGGAAATCAACTGAGCCACACAGGTCCGGCACTACAACATTAATTATTAAGCACCTATGACAAGATCCTGAGTAATAAACAAGTTTAGATATACCTACTCGGAGAACAAAGTTCATGATCTGGGAAAAGAAAGGACGCTCTCATTACGTAATGACTTACAACACACTCATTCAGTCAGCAAATATTCGGGGCAAGCCTGATGTGAACCCGGCTCTATGCGAGAGACTGGGGGTACAACAAGACCCTCCGATGCACAGAGCAGACGCAGACAAGAAGATGCAGCTAAGCGCTCTGCCTGCTGGAGGCGAGTGTGCCAGGCAGTGCCTGGGGCGCAGGAAGGAAGAGCTGGCCTGGAGAAGGGACGCCCTGCACAGCCCCGTCGAGGAGGCAGTGCTGGGTCTCCAGTGATGCACAGTGATACTAATAAAGACACTGAGTGTGAAAAGCAGTACAGCCTGAATAAAGGACACAAGCAAAAGCATAGCACGTTTAGAAACTTATCAGTTAAACAAAGGTTCAAAGAAGTGAGCAGGAAAAAGAGAGAACACTGGAGAAAACACAGCCTGCAAAAGGCCTTAAGGGCATACTGAGAAATTTGCACCTTACTACAGACAGGAAATCAAAGGGTTTAATCCAGAAAACGATGATCTAACCTCAATTTTGAAAAGTCACTCTGGTTTTAATATGGAGGACAGACTATAGGAAGAAAGGAACACAGGTCTTTTATAACATGAAACAGGTGGCAAGGATTACAGTAAAAAGGTTACAGAAAAGTTCAAATACAAAAGATATTAGCAAATACTGAGTCTTAAGAATTTTCTCTCAAGAGTGGGCACAAAATGAGAGCACAACATTTAATGAATAACTGGCTGAATAGCTGACTGACTGATTAGATGCAGATGAACAAGAAGAAAGGGTTCAGGACTGCAGGCTGACCCAAGGGTGGGCCTTTAGTTGAGGGCAGACACGTCTGGGGAACGAGAACATGGACCTACCAGGTCAAGCGGACTCTGAGGTACCTGCAGGGGTGCAGGTGGGGTGCTGACTGGTCACGTAAGGAGTCTGAAAGGCAGGGACAGGTCTGAATGGGAGACGATGGCCTGGGAATGGTCAGAACAGAGATGATGGTCAAATGCTGCACCAGAAACAGGGGAGGTGATCTGGGGAAGACACAGAACAAGGAGAGAGAAAGGTTAGGGACACTGCCTAGGAAATCAATATTTAAGAGATGGACCAAAAAAAAAGATAATAAAGAAAAAGAAGGCTGAGAATGTATGACTTGAAAGGAAAGAAAAGAAATGCAAAAGAATTTGAAAATGGAAAGAGGCAGTAATGTCAGATTCTACAGGGAAACAAAGAAAAACTAAAAACTGAACAGAATGATTGGACTTGGTAGTTTGCAAACTTGGTCACCTGTGCAGAGCAGTTTCCTGAGATGAGGTAGAGCACAGAAAACTGCCTACAGCGAGTTCAAGAGTAAAAAATGATGAAGAAATGGAATTAGGAAATTAACCCATTCTTTGAAAGGCAAGAAAGAATAAGGCAGTAACTTGAGAGGATATAAAAGGCAATCATTTTTTGCCCTCTTTTCTGTTTCTAAGATGCAGGGAGAAGCCAAAAAGAAGGTTAAAAATGGTGGGAACAATAGCTGGAGCAGAGAAAACAAAGCGGAGGTTCTGATTGACAGCTGAGCCAAGAAAAGGAGACTGCTTCACGGCCCCACCCACCCACCCAGCAGAGGGGCCTGCCTGAGGCTGCAGGAACTGCCGCTGCACTGAAGGGCTGGGAAGGCAGGGACTGCACCTCGCTCAGCGTTACAAGCAAACTCCACCAGCAAGAGCATGAGGAATTTGGGCAATACACATCATTTCAAAAATGTACGTATAAAAATTACATATTAGTAACTTAACCAAAAGAGGCATTTTTAAACTTCTCAGCATCCAGCAGAGTGTGACACATAACAGACATCAGTGTATACAAATGAATGATGTTCTGGGGTCTGCTCAGGCCAATATGCCAAGAGACAGGAGCACCTGTGAAAAGTGGCTACGCAGTGTCTCCACGCCCCAGGCAACACACTCTCCTTCCTGTGGTTTGGTTCCCACTAAGGGCACATACCTCGGTTGCAGTTTGTCCCCGGCCCTGGTTGGAGTCATGTGGGTGTCAACCACTCGATGTGTCCCTTTCACATCAATGTTTCTCTCTCTCTCTTGCTCCCTCTCTCCTTCCCGCTCTATGTGAAGATAAATGCAAAAATGTCCTCCGGTGAGGACTGAATGAATGAATGAATGAATGAATGAATAAATAAGTAAAAAGAAAGCAAGGCAGAATGAAGGGGAAAAAAAACATCAGCCTGCAGCCTCGGGAAACATGAACATGAAGGGACAGGAGTCAGTAAAGACAGCTGAGAAAGAAGAGGTAAAAAAGAGAAATAAGAGAGTGATGTCATGAAGACAAAGAAAGGGTGTTAAAAACACGGGCATGAACATGTGAAAAGTTCACAATGGATTTAACAATTAGGAACTATATCCAAGGGTAGATACAATTTCAGTAAATAGATGAAGCAAGATTTTTCACTGTTGAGCCTGGCCAGTGAGGCTCAGTAGATTGACCATCATCCCATGTACTGAGAGGTCCTGGTTCAATTCCTGGTCAGGGCACATGCCTGGGTTGTGGGCTCAATCCCCAGTGGGGGCGTGCAGGAGGCAGCCAATCGATGTTTCTCTCTCACATCAATGTTTCTACCTCTCTCTTCTTTCCCCTCTCTCTAAAATAAATCAATGAAAACATACTTTAAAAAACGTTTTCACTGTTGAGAAGGGGAATGGCTCAAAAAACAAGGCAAAAAAGGTAAAGTGTGCAGTGTGTTTAGAACAGAATGTAAAAGAGTTTTGCTGGAATAGAGGTTCATGTCGTAGAAGACAAGAAAGTCCAGACCAAAGACTGTGCATTCCAGCTGTTATTCTATTTTGGACTTTATTCTGTGAGCAGGAAGAATAAAGAGAGGTAGCTTTTTTTTTTTTTTTTAAGACAACTACAGTGGTGACTAGCATCCAGGATGAATTGCAATGACAAGAGCGTTAAGGCAGGACAAGCTACTAGGCAGTCCTAAAATTATCTAAACATAGTAATGAGGGCCTAAAAGAGGCTAGCAGTAGCCAAGTAAGAATTAAGGAAGACATGAAAGAGTCTCCACTCCTAGGGTGCCCTGGATCTTCTGTCACTGTGTTATTATACTCGTCACAATGTATCAGTCATGTGTGAACTGGGATCCTCTCTTATTCAACATTTTATCACAAGTACTAACAAATCAGGAACACCAGAAGTGGCCGAAAAATGTTTGTCACGTTATACTAGAACTCAGTAATGATGAGATACAGAAGTGAGACCTAGAGACACTGCAGAGAATACACAGAATGTATGATACTGTACGTAGAAAACCCTAAAGATTCCACCAAAAAAACTACCAGATCTAATAAATGAATTTGACAAAGTAGCAGGATACAAAATTAATATTCAGAAATAGAAGGCATTTTTATATACCAATAATGAACACACAGACAGAGAACAATCCCATTTACTATTGAAACAACAAAAAATAAGGTACCTAGGAATAAATTTAACCAAGAAGATAATAGACCTACAGTTGGAAAACGATAGGACACTGAAGAAAGAAATAGAGGAAGACAAACAAGTAGAAGCATATACCATGTTCATGGATTGGAAGAATAACATCATTGAAATGTCCATAATACCCAAAGCCACCTACAGATTCTTCACAATTCCTATTAAAATACCAGACCCAACACATATTCCAAAAAATTATATGGAACCAAAAAAGACCCTGAATGGCCTCAGCAATCTTAAGAAAAAAGAACAAAGTTGGAGGGATCAGGATACTGGATATCAAACGATATTACAAAGCCACGGAAATGAAAACAGCCTGGCACTGCCCTGGCCAGTCTGTCTCAGGTGGTCGGGCATCATCCGGCACAACAGGAGGCTGCTCGTTCAATTCTGGTCAGGCACATGCTCGGGTCTGGGGACTGATCCCTGGCAGAGGGCATGCAGGAGGCAGCCCACCGATGCTGTGCTCTCATATCAATGTCTCTCTCTCCCCATCTCCATTCCTCTCTCTCTAAAAATTAATAAACTATTCTTTAAAAAATAAATAAATAACATGGTACTGTACAAGAACAAGCATATAGATCAATGGAACAGAACAGAGAGTCTAGAAATCAACCCATGTCTTTATGGTCAATTAACATCTGATGACAGAGACAAGAGCATATGACGGAAATAAAAACAGTCTCTTCAATAAATGGTGCTGGGAAAACTGGACAGATACATGCAAAAAAAAAAAAATGAAACTAGACCACCAACTTATACCATTTGCAAGAATAAACTCAAAATGGATAAAAGACTTAAATGTAAGTCACAAAACCATAAAAATCCTAGAACATAGGCAATAAAATCTCAGACATCCCTTGCAGCCATATTTTTGCCAATACAATGCCTAGGGCAAGAGAAACAAAGGAAAAAATAAACAAATGGGAATACATCAAACTAAAAATTTTCTGCACAACAAAAGAAAATATCAACAAAATGAAAAGGGAATCTACTGTATGGGAGAACATATCTGCCAATGATACATTTAATAAAAAGTTAAATTTCCAAAATATATAAAGAACATAAACAACTCAACAAAAGGAAGACAAACAACCCAAATGAAAAATGGGCAAAGAACCTAAACAGACACTTCTCCAAAGAGGACACAGAGATGGCCAATAGACATATGTAATAATACTCATTAATAATCAGAGAGATGCAAATTAAAACTACAATGAGTTATCACCTCACACCTGCCAGAATGGCTGCCATCAATAAATCAACAAACAAGTGCTGGTGAGGATGTGGAGAAAAGGGAGCCCTGCGGGAATGCAGACTGGTGCAGCCACTATGGAGTTTCCTCAAAACATTAAAAATGGAACTGTCTTTTGACCCAGCGTTTCCGCTTCTGGGAACATACCCTAAGAATCCCAAACACCAAATGGAAAGACTATATGCACCCCTATGTTCATAGCAACACTATTTACAATAGCCATGAGCTGGAAACGGCCCAAATATCCATCAGTAGATGAGGGAACAAAAAAGCTGTGGTAGCCCTGGCCGGTTTGGCTCAGCCAGTTGGAGCGTTGGCCTGAGGACCAGAGAGTCCCAGGTTTGGTTCCCGCTAAGGGCACGTACCTCGGTTGTGGTTTGTCCCTGCCCCTGCTGGGGTCAACCGCTTGATGTGTCTCTCTCACGTCGATATTTCTCTCTCTTCCCCCCTCTCTCCCTCCCGCTCTATCTGAAGATACATGCAAAAAAAAAAGATGTGGTACATTTACATAATGGAATACCACTGGGCCATATAAAAAGGACACCTTACCTTTGGTGACAGTGTGAATGGACCTGGAGATTACTCTGCAGAGTGAAATAAGCCAGTCAGAGAAAGACAAACACCATATGATCTCGCTTACATGTGGAATCTAATGAGCAACCAAACAAAACAGAACCAGGGCCCGGAGCACTGAAACACCTGAGGCCATATCAGCAGAGGCGACGGGAGGGACCGGATAAAAGAAGGTGAAGAGCCCTGGCCAGTGTGTTTCGGACAGAGCATCAGCCCGCAAACCGAAGGGTCACGGTTTCAATTACCTGTCAAGGGCACATACCTGGGTTGCAGGTTCAATCCACAGCCCTTGTCTGGTTGAGGCATGTGTGGGAAGCAACCAACTGATGTGTCGTTCTCTCTGTCTGTCTGTCTCTCTCTCTCCCCCTCCCTCCCTTCCATTCTTTCTAAAATTCAATGGAAAAAATATCCTCAGGTAAAGATTAACAAAAAAAAAAAAAGGAAGAAAAAAAGGAGAAGCGATTAACCAAAGATTATATATATGCATAGGTCATGGTCACAGACAACAGTGTGGTGAAGGCCGGGAGGGGAGATGTGCTGGAGGAGGGGCAAAGGAGGGAGGACATCTGTAATAGTGTCAACAATAAAAATAAATTAATTAAAACTTTTTAAAAAGATACTGCAGAG